GCCAACAAATAGGTTCTCCTACAAGAGCATGGGGCCCTCCATTCAAATAAGAAGTACCCAAGATCCGGTGTGGAGGGCCCCGAAAGATCGAGTGTACCCGCGCAAACTACTAGATAGCCCCTACGGGAGAGGAGCGCCCTATATTCAAATACCAAATCCCATTGTGCTAGCTCCCAGAGCAATCTAGTGTGCCCGAGGAAACGAACAGATGGCGACCTAGACAAGAGTGTAGGGCCCTTCATTCGAAAAGGAAGTGCCCCAAACACAATGCGGATGGCTCCCGAACTATCGAGTGTGCCCAAGCAAGTTAGCCAATGGGGGTTCCCGATAAGAGCAAAAAGCTCTCAAATCAACTAGAAGATACCCACGACACAATGTAGGGAGCCCCCAGGCGATCGAGTGGGCCAGGACAGGTTACCAGATATGCCCCCGACAACAGCGTGGGGTCTCGCATTCAGAGAAGCAGTACCCAAGACCAAAGGTGGAGGGCTCCCGAACAATCCAGTGTACCCGATCAGGTTAATATATGGGCCCCCGACAAGTGCACAGTGCCCGCCATTCAAATAGCAAGTACCCAAGACCCAATTTAGAGGGTCCCGAACGACCGAGTGTCACCACACAGGTCAACAGATGGGCCCCCGACGAGAGTGTAGGGACATGAGCAAGTGACAGGAAATTGGAGGAGCTTTCGACCAGTGCAGAGGGCTCGTGGGCATCGGTAGGCTGGCCGTGACTAGCGTGAAGGGCCCGCGAGTAGCCGAGAACACCCTGGCAGCTTAACATGCGCCCGGGGGGCCGGTCGGATACCCTTCGCTCGGGTGGGGGTGGGGTGGGGGATCAATTTGAACCCCTCCTGAGATCTCAGGAACTATGAGAGACAGAGACACCAAACTTATAGGGTGTGTTGACCTGTACATAAACTCACTTGAGCCAAGGTTTGAGGTTCCTGGGTCATGACCTACGGAAATGGAAATAATCCGTGGAAGGCCCCTGATTGACAAGAGCACTCCGCAACGCTGCCAGCCGGGGCCCCAGCAACAGCGCAGGGCCCCCGAACAAATACGAATAAATCAAGGGCAACATATAAGGCTACTGAACGATCGGATAGACGCGGCAAGTAAACACATGGGACACCCGGAAACGGCATAGGGCCCCTGCACAACGTAATGAGCCTTTAATCTTCAAATCACTACTTTTTCGATAGGAAAGAAATATTTTTGTTTTCTCTTGGGCACTTCACTCTCGCTTGAAGCTGTTCGTGGTCGCCTGGGAACCAAAAGATGCCCATTTTTGTTGCGTTTTGTGTAAAAAACTGCGCCTTTTCAGGCAACTGTCTTCGTCTCTTGATTCTAAAAGATGGGTTGGCGCTTAGCCCCGTGCCCCCCTTTGCAAATGCCCCTGCTTAACAAGGTTCACTTACGAAGCACAATCAGATTAGCTTATGATTTCGTTTACTGACTCCAAGGTATTTTTGAAAACGCACCCTTTTCTAATTATATCAGTCAGAGCGGATTGCGCTAAGATTGCTTGCTTTATATCAATTCCTTCCCGTGTATGCCACAGCATGTCGTGTTTCAGTCTGACTTCGAAAAAGGTGACGTAAGCCGTCTACTAATCTGTGAAGCGAATTACAGGTGCAATGGCCATTGTTGATACTGTTTGATAAACTTTTGATGGCGCATTGGCCTGCATTTGTATTTCCTAACCATTTTTATGTCTCTTTCCAGCAGAGAATGGATTGGATTATGATTTATGCCCCTCCCCGGCCGAACCCAACAACAATTCACATTCATATTAAGTTTTAATTCCACAACACATTCATACTTGTGTAGTTTTGCAGTGCTGTATAGCGTAATTCTAAAACAGGCTGGCCTGACCATACGTAGCCGTTGCTCGCGCAGTAAAATTCAGCAATAGGCCCCCACACACAACACTTTTAAACGTTGACAAATTTCACATAAGGAAAAGCAACACAAGGTATTGCTTCCACTGTCATACGAAGTTTCGCATGTTTAAAATAAATTCATGCTCTCCTCCACGCGAGTGCTTTTAGCCTGCGATGCCATGTAAGCCCGCTTTCGTTTTGAAATCGTACCCATTTAATTTGTCCCCTCTCCGGGTTCCGCCCACCTTTCCACCACTTTGCGGAGCACCCACGGGCGTCACCCAGCGGGGCACCGGTTCCGATAAAACGGGTTTACACGCAGAATATAAACATTGTTTGAAATGAATTTAGATGACATCATTGCACTGGCCACCCTAAAAACCCCTGTTGCTAGTTTTCATCGTCCTCGTAAGCATACTTTTACATTTTGCCCGGTCCAGGTAGGATGGTGTTTGGCCACAGACCGCGGACGGTCCCAGTAAGCTGCGTCTTACGAGCATGTGTGTGTGTGTGTGTGTGTGTGTGTGTGTGTGTGTGTGTGTGTGTGTGTGTGTGTGTGTGTGTGTGTGTGTGTGTGTGTGTGTGTGTGTGTGTGTGTGTGTGTGTGTGTGTGTGTGTGTGTGTGTGTGTGTGTGTGTGTGTGTGTGTGTGTGTGTGTGTGTGTGTGTGTGTGTGTGTGTGTGTGTGTGGTGTGTGTGTGTGTGTGGTGTGTGTGTGTGTGTGTGTGTGTGTGTGTGTGTGTGTGTGTGTGTGTGTGTGTGTGTGTGTGTGTGTGTGTGTGTGTGTGTGTGTGTGTGTGTGTGTGTGTGTGTGTGTGTGTGTGTGTGTGTTGTGTGTGTGTGTGTGTGTGTGTGTGTGTGTGTGTGTGTGTGTGTGTGTGTGTGTGTGTGAGTTTATTTGATTAGGATGTGGAAAAAATGACAACAAAACAGCATTCGCCGTGTCTTAAGTGCGTGCCACCCCAGGTATTGTCTCAATTTGTCTGTCGATGTTCTGATGAGGCTCCTGTCAGTTTAGTCGCTCGGTTTTTTGCTTTTTCTTGTTGTTCGTGATGTGATGCAATGTGCATGTCAAAAACGGTGTCACGACAGCCGAAACGATGTCTTATACAAGTTTTGTATAAGCTACCGAATGCGCTGCGACGTATGTGCTTAGCTAGGGCAGAAAGTTAACTTCTGGCTGTTTTTATGACGGTATTTCAATGCCCCTGCGGTGCGCACGGCGGCAGAGCAGTGGCCCTTTACATACCGAGCGGCGCCTCTCATATATGAGCTGCCTGTGGATGTTGGACGGTTAAATTCAACAAGTTTTAAGCCCGCTGTCAGGTCCTTTTTGTGGAAGAGGGTAGCCCCATTTTGTTTGTGCGTGCATCTGTTTGTGTGCTGTTATCCCTTAATACTTTCTGTTGTTTTTTTGACATGCCGCTTTATCCCTCCGACTAATGACACGCAAAAGCCACGTATGTATGTAGGGTATCAGCTGACGTCAAATGCAATACATGTGATGTCTCAGATCTGTAGATGAAGTAAGTCCGACGTATTTCGGTGCTTTGGTGCTTGGGTGCTTGGGTACACCGTTCTGATATGGGGCAGCTGCATCATGGCTGCCAGCGCACTTAAAGGCCTGCCCGGAAACATAACTTTTGCTCTCGATGCCCATTGTGACAGCCTGTATGTAGAATTCCAGCATGTGCTCTTCAGCTATTCCGGTTGTGGGTTGTACGCTGGGGCGAATTGGGCTGCAATAAGCTTGTCGACACTCATGCTGCAGACGTATTCTAGCTTATATTCTGGCCAGGCTCTCTTTGGTTTAGACCGTGCCACAACCCACGGGTTCTTCCAGACGTCAATGAGTTTTTCATGTTTGATCTTAACCTTGTGAAATGCGTAGTATCTATCAGTGTCCTTTTAGCTTTGATCAATTAATCGATATGATCTGGGATACGCTCAGGTCTTTCCACTTGGCAATCGCACAATCTATGCTACTTGGTGCGATCAATTTGAGCGATTTCTATCATAGTCTGACAGACTGTAGTTTGATGCTCTTTCCCAAGTCATCACATCACAAACGTCGATTTTTTGTGAGAACCCTGGCCGCTAGTGTTGAGTTGGGCCCCTCAATGTTGGCTTGGCCCCCCAATGTTTTTGACTAGAATGCTGCAAAAATCATAGGTAAAAGGTGACTCACACAAAGGCTATCTTTTTTTTGGCCTTTCTGCGTAGTGGCGTTGGCAGGGGTGCAGTTTGATGCACGCAACCTCAAATTATTTCCTCCAATGATATGTGCCTTCAAATAGTTGTGTCAGACCCTTTTATCTATGACGTGTTTTTCCCCGTCAAACATAGCCACACACACTTATTCCTGCAAACTCAACATAATACTGACGTCACTGATCCACTGGTCTCGTGGAGACTTTAATGCCGAACGTCATTTGGTCTGCTTCCCATGCAAGGCTATGAAGCCAACATTGTTTTTTATTCTCGAAGCCCAGCTTTCTTCACTGTTTGGTCTCAAGAGGAAACAAAATCGGGTGTGAGGATGCTATTTTTTGTGCGGCATCGTTACTTCAAGACATAAGTTCAGATATGAATTGGGTGTGCAATACATAAAATGCAGCGAACAAAATCCCTGCGGCACATCAGCAGTCAGGCGCTTGGGGATAAAAGGTGGGATGAATAGGGTGGGAATAAGCTGCTCCCCTGACACATCCAAATGTGATGCTATTTTGGATGCGGGAAGGGATCTTCGATATGGCTACCAGACATAATACTGTACTGCTGATACTGCTAAGCACGCCACACACATGACACAGACGCTCCATTGCCGCGGCGACAAAGCTAAAGTCTGGTTGCACAACTACAACGCCTTACCAATTTTTGTATTGTTACGTTACTTGCATATCATGCTCAATTGTATATCATCTCCAACAAATCGTTCGCGTTATCGTCGCCCTTCCCGGCGCCCGCCCTCCCGCCAGCTCGGCGCTGCCATCCGGAGGCCAGGTGGCCCCATGACTGCCGCCCTCACAGCTGTTTTTCAATGTCAGTGGTACCATCGCCGACCGGTGGTCGCGCTTCTGACCCACTTACACACACACACACACACTCACACTCACACACACACACGCACAGACGTGCACACGCACTGACATACCTACACACAGACATACGCACACGTGTCTGGTGGGACAGGCGACAGCCGCGTGGCGGCTGGACGCCGGGAGGACGCCCGCCAGAGAAGGCCGGCCGACCTTGGTGACGGGGGCCCTCCGAGAGCCGACCGGAAGACCCGGTGCGGATGTAAGCCGGAACACTCGGGTCACGGTGTCCCGCGCCGCCAGTCGAGCGGAGACCGGACGGTAGAGCGGGTCACGGTGTCCCGCGCCGCCAGTCGAGCGGAGACCGGACGGTACAGTGGGTCACGGCGTCCCGCGCCGCCAGTCGAGCGGAGACCGGACGGTAGAGCGGGTCACGGTGTCCCGCGCCGCCAGTCGAGCGGAGACCGGACGGTACAGCGGGTCACGGTGTCCCGCACCGCCAGTCGAGCGGAGACCGGACGGTAGAGCGGGTCACGGCGTCCCGCACCGCCAGTCGAGCGGAGACCGGACGGTACAGCGGGTCACGGTGTCCCGCACCGCCAGTCGAGCAGAGACCAGACGGTAGAGCGAGACGCCAGCGAGAGAGCTCGGACGCCGCGGCCGAGCGATGCCCGTGCTTCACCTGCAAGGGACGACATGTCGGCGAATAGGTAGGCGACAGTGCAGTGTTTGCCACCCGTGATCGGTCTGAAATCGCACCCACCCGGGCGTTAGCGCTCAGGTTTGTTGTGCAAACACCTTGAGTTTGTTGCTGGGTAAAAATATGGTCTAGTGACCTCAGATTTTGCAACTTTGCGTCCGCCTTGTTAAAATTATGAGACAGCGCAGGTCGCCGTACTCCTCGTGGAATAACCAGGAAAATGGAGAGAAAGATGCATCGATATTTTCGCTACATGCCTTTATCGAAAAAACGACATGTAGCCCATAGAATCTCGATAATGACATGCAGCCGAAGTATACACATATCTATCTTTTCCATGCCCTGATTGCTATATGAGGAATAAGGCTATTAGCACCGTCTTATCAGAATGCATAATGTTCTTCGCGAATGCGCCTATCAACTTACGAAGGTTGAAATTGCATGCAATTCGTAAGCGCGAGACCGAGCAACAGTGCAGAATGCTCAGTCCTTGATGACCAGATTGTTAGGTGAATCGTGCAGCCCATAAACCATACGCTGTACGTGTCCATACAGCAGCCGGCCGCCGCGGCCGGGTCAGGCCTCCTGCACAGCCCATGAACCATACGCTGTACGTGTCCATATAGCAGTCGGCCGCCGCGGCCGGGGTCAGGTCACCTTACACCTGTGTCGCGCCTCAGGGGACGGGCTCGGATGGAGCCGGCACGTGGCAACAGACAAGGCTCACTTCACCGCAGCCGCCGGCCAGAGCAGGGCCGGCTCGATCACCGACAAGTGTGAGTTGTCAGTCGAAGGCAGGCGACGTGGCGTGGCCGTCCCAAACCTCTTGATTTCGCCAGCGAATAATTTAGCGATGGTCTGTTTGTTGCGACTTAACGTATGCGCTTCTCCTTCCGTGCTGGTTGTATGAGTGTGCATGACGACTGAACTCATGCGGGACGTGACATGCTGGTGGGTGGGACTGTATCACTCCTACCGTTTATCTATTGTGACGGGCCTGGAGTTTAGCGTCACAGGTCACAAGCCACAGCCCAGGTCACAAGCAGTCCCCAGCTGTGTCCACGCGTGTTGATAGGCGAAAGCATCAATCTTAGGCCGGCGCGCCGCGTCGCGGGAGCTGCGTCACGTGCTCCGCGCAGGGGAGACGCAAACGTCAACTGTCGCCGTCAGTCTCGGCAGCTTTGGTCTCGCTGTTTTATGCAGACGTTTGTGTTTCCAAGCATGGTAAAGCTATCGACGGCGTGGCCTATCATAAAGAAAAACGGTGCTGCCACGCTGTGCTGCAAGGTTTTCTGCTCTCAGGTGACACCGGCGCGATGCCTTTTAAAGGAGACGCCATCTGATTCCCTCGCACTGTCAGCTCCGGCTTTCGGTGAACGCTGATGCCACCTTTTATGTGCAGGTCAGCTGAGTCCGTACGCTCGGCTGATGGACCAGCTGTGCTCTGACGAGCGGCTGGCACAGGAGCGCGCCGCCGGCACGAGAGTCGGCCTCTACCGCCTCTACGGAGACCTGGGCACAGGCAACTTTTCTCGAGTCAAACTCGCTGTGCACCAACTCACGGCAGGTAAGGGTCAAACTGGCTGTGCACCAGCTCACTCCAGGTGATAATCACACCGGCTGTCCACCAGCTCAATCCAGGTGATGATCATACCGGCTGTCCACCAGCTCAATCCAGGTGATGATCATACCGGCTGTCCACCAGCTCAATCCAGGTGATGATCATACCGGCTGTCCACCAGCTCAATCCAGGTAATGATCATACCGGCTGTCCACCAGCTCAATCCAGGTGATGATCATACCGGCTATCCACCAGCTCAATCCAGGTGATGATCATACCGGCTGTGCACCAGCTCACTCCAGGTGATAATCACACCGACTATGCACCAGCTCACTCCAGGTGATTATCACACCGGCTGTCCACCAGCTCAATCCAGGTGATGATCATACCGGCTGTGCACCAGCTCAATTCAGGTGATGATCATACCGGCTGTCCACCAGCTCAATCCAGGTGATGATCATACCGGCTATCCACCAGCTCAATCCAGGTGATGATCATACCGGCTGTCCACCAGCTCAATCCAGGTGATGATCATACCGGCTGTCCACCAGCTCAATCCAGGTGATGATCATACCGGCTGTGCACCAGCTCAGTTCAGGCGAGGACCATACCGGCTGTGCACCACCTCACCCAAGGTAAGGATCACGCCGTGTATGCACCAGCTTACGTCAGGTGATAATCACACCGGCTGTGCGCCAGCCTACGTCAGGTGATAATCACACCGGCTGTGTGCCAGCTAACGTCAGGTGATCATCACACCGGCTGTGCACCAGCCCACTCCAGATGATGATCACCTTGGCTGTGCACCACTTCATGCCAGGGGATGATTGTGCCGGCTGTGTGCCAGCCCACGGTATGTAAGGGTGAAATTTTATGCACACCAGCCCACGGCAACTAAGGCTTGGACCGGCTGCGCAAGAGATTGCGTGAAATTCAGCCGTGTCATGTAACCATGCTGTTTCCACCTCAGGCCAGTGTGTCTCAACACTGTCTGTTTGTGCACATCATTCGGTGCCCAATGATAGTTTTATATGTTCTCAAAAAGACGAATCTGTATTCATTGGGTGTCCCGTCTTAACAACTTACATCGGATTGGTTCTTACCATGCCTGCTCCAGTCATTCATAATTAGGTTCGAAACCGAATAAATAATAACTTGAGGTATAAAATTGATATCAACCATGCAAGTGGGCCATTGCTGTCCAATACTGATATCACGAAAACACTGTGCAATTACCACGTGCTCACACACGCACGCACGCGGTGATTGGGGGGGGGGGCAATTTGACCACCCCAAAGTTGTTCCAGAATACTTCCGAACGGCGCGGCGTAAGCGCGTCAAACTTGCTACAGCTGTAGGCAATTGCATAACCAAATTTTTATGTATGCAACGGTGACATGCCTTGTGAGATCGCTGACCTATGACAGGTCAAATTCAGGCGACAGACATAATCGAAGGCAATCGTTCCTCGTTCCTCTGGAGCTGTTCGATACAATTTGACGGTGGGGTGCTAGAGGAAGTTGTGCAAGTTTAAAATTTTTGTTTTTTAAGACAGCTGAACAATAAGAATTAGGATAACGAATGCTTCCACTGACCTAGGGTCAGATCTAAATGTCAGACCAGGGTAAAAACCAAAGCGCTTTATAGTTTGAGAACGTATTCTGTGGGATATTTTCATATTTATTCTGAATTCCTTGATTACGGAACAAAAGGGCATGACATGTGATTTCACAAGCAGTCAAAAGTAAAATACAAATTTTAGCTGGAAGTGTAGAGCAAAATGTTAGTAAAAAACGTGTACAGCTCCCTTTCCAGCCGGGGTATCTTCTCTAGGATTTCTCCTCACGGTGAGATCGATGCGCAAGCTCATGGTAGAACATGATACGGACACTTAGTCTAATGACTTGCTTGCTAACCAAACGTGTCACTGAGGATCTCTTGACACAGTTCTTCAGTCTCGTTCATGGTAAGGGGAAGAGAAGGGGTGCAACGCAGGATAAAAGGCCTGTTTCTCTATTGATCCTAAAAAGCTGAATCCTAGACACTGATTTAGTGCTGCAAGCTCTGCAACCGATACTGCGTCCATGCCGCACGTTATGCAGCCAATACTGCAAACACTCTTTTATACCAAATGTGGTACAGAAGCTTAATAGTTAAGAGAACACAAAATCGGGGATAGACATCACGTTAAAGACATAATCACAGTCTGAGAACAGTATCAGGCATAGTTATTCGCCGACGATGTGACTAATCTTCTTAGCTCTACATTAACATCATGCGAATACCGTTCTAAGAGCTGGGCGTGTTTGTCACGTTCTCCGGTATCCGTCCAAACATAAAAACGCCGGTGATCTGGTTATGACGCATAGAAAGTACTGCTATAAACTTGTAGCCTCATGTGCAGCTGAATTAACAATAATAAGTGTATTAGGGCTTGTTTTTCAGGACGACTGAAGTAACATGCGGCCCGACAATCGCGGGAATCTAGATATATTGTCATTCGAGCATGAAATGTACATTATTTGGCTCTAGCTAGGAAAGTCACTGTTGTTTAGTCACTTCTCGTACGCAAACTAACACGTTTGTTCAAATCATCGCCTCATTCCTATTATTTTCAAAAGTTGAGAGCTGATGTTTCGTTTGATCGGAAACAGAAAATGGATATGATTGAAAAGAAAACAGTGTCAAACCACTATTTAAGGGAGGCTTATGATGATCTTAGAATCTCACACTGTTGCCCCGCAGGCGGCTTGTGCCAGGAGAAAGATAATATCGACACATAAACAAGACTATCTCTTCCGAAAAACGCAGCATCGTTGCGTAACGTTACCAGCACGATGAAAATATCTGGAATGAGTTCGGATGCCTGTGCCGCAGCCCTTTGCACTCCGGGTATCCACAGACCGCGTGGCCGTGAAAATCGTCGATAAAGCAAAGCTGGACTACAGGACCCACGCCATGTTGGCTGAGGAGATCGAGAACATGGAGCGGCTTCATCATCCCCACATAGTAAGGTGAGACTCTGGCAGCCACGCTGTCCAGTCAGCACCAGCTCCCCGACCTCACATGCTGTCCTGAACGATTCCCGAGTCTGATTTTGCATCAGGTCGCTGCGGTCAGCGCCGTGACCGGGCGGGTAGGGCGTGTGATGGGGCGCTCCGCGTGACTCCCGCTGCGGTCAGCGCCGTGACCGGGCGGGTAGGGCGTGTGATGGGGCGTTCCGCGTGACTCCCGCTGCGGTCAGCGCCGTGACCGGGCGGGTAGGGCGTGTGACGGAGCGCTCCGCGTGACTCCCGCTGCGGTCAGCGCCGTGACCGGGCGGGTAGGGCGTGTGATGGGGCGCTCCGCGTGACTCCCGCTGCGGTCAGCGCCGTGACCGGGCGGGTAGGGCGTGTGATGGGGCGTTCCGCGTGACTCCCGCTGCGGTCAGCGCCGTGACCGGACGGGTAGGGCGTGTGACGGAGCGCTCCGCGTGACTCCCGCTGCGGTCAGCGCCGTGACCGGGTGGGTAGGGCGTGTGACGGAGCGCTCCGCGTGACTCCCGCTGCGGTCAGCGCCGTGGCCGGGCGGGTAGGGCGTGTGATGGGGCGGTCCGCGTGACTCCCGCTGCGGTCAGCGCCGTGACCGGGCGGGTAGGGCATGTGAGGGGGCGCTCCGCGTGACTCCCGCTGCGCCAACACTGCGAGCCCTGTATGATGCTGTTGACGCGTGGTCAATGATGGAAGGACCGCTTACATACCAACCATAGCGCGTGCAGTTTTGGGTGCCGGGTTTCAGGCGCAAGCCGTGTGCAGGTCTCGAACGGCAGACAGCTTGCATTGAGTTGCGTAACGCAGGCGATAGATATGTGCAATATTTATGTCCACTGGCAAGGCGCCCTGCGAAACTGGGCACAGCGTGAGCCAATCAGGACCTGACCCAAAGTTGGCCGTACCCGAGTTATATATACATTAGGAAACTTCTGGGAGATGCTCGAAACTGTGTATCTCATGTGTAGCCTATTTGCAAAGCAAACATCACGCGTTATGCACATAACCAACGCACGCTATTTGGCATACCACCCTGTTACTTGGAAAAATGATGGAACATCACCAGATATCATTTAAAATGCACACTATGTACAGCTGACCGGCTCAGTACGGATTACAACTGTCTTCAAGTCACAGATTTCTGAACCAGGGCTGCAAACCAGTAGACCGATATCAGAACAAGCGGAAAGAAGCGCAGAGCGTGACCGACGATCCTTTTATGATTTGTATATTCCTACCCATCAGGCCAATTTTGAAAAGCCTTGCACCTCCGTTAATGATTATGCGGGCCAGGTCGTGGGTGTGATGAAGAAAAACTTACTGTTTGGTAGACTAAAGCCCAGTTGTAGTAACTGCAGCACCACGAGCAATAATCGGTGTCTTTCAATTGTGCTGAATGTTCAACTCCCTACGACAGTTACTCAGTTGAAGGGTTGACTAAAGCATATTGATGTCTTGATGTGGCTGTCATGTACTTTCAGCGTGTAATTGGAGGATTTTCGCCCAACACGTTTAGTGCGTGATAGCTGTCAGGACAAGTCGGCATCCGTGGTCTGCGCCATGCCGACCTCCTGATGACCGTGACGCAGCAATGACGCGCGCCATGGTCTGGGCGTCATCTCTCGCAGTTGGTCTGCCTAGAAGCTGAACACGCAACAGTTTCTATCCGTGACCTTCAGTGGGCCGTTTCTTGATGGCCCAGATTAGGGGTTGCAGCAAGCAAATGTTCTGAGTTGTGCTTTTGCATTTTGGATTGTGCCTTGGTCACTGCTGCGTGAAGGCAGGTGGATAGGAGAGCTCTTGGTCTTTTCCGTGAGCGGCGGGGGTACAAAACATCCCATCCAGGACGTACCATGAATGAACTTCGAATTATAGGGCTGTCTTCAGCGGTTCCTATAAACATAAAATTTACTGTAAAATGAGCCGCTCACGCGTTTCAAAAATAACAAGAGCAACGATAGAAAATCGGGTAAAAGCCAGGCAAACAAAAAGGCAGACAAGAAATAGTTGGAATGCCAGGAACTACAAGGTTGCCTTCGTCCCGACAACACCGACGACTTTTCGAGCCAAAAGTTATACAATGACTCTCTAAGATACAAGGTGGGCCAAGACAGTGAGGGGCCCGAAAGCCGTCTACGCAATCCACAAGTCCTCCAACAATGGGGAGAATCACTCCTGTTGGTGGTCGTGGAGCGACTTGGCATAACACGTTAACAATCCCGTATTGCTCGGCTAACGGGCTGGTGCAAACATATCACGTGATTCCCAGTACTCAGGCGGTGGGCTCACGCGCCAAACCATACTTAGCGCGACCCCTGCTCCGATGCCACCATTCAAGCCAGCCAGTCGGTTGGCCAGGCTAAGCGCACTGGCCGAGCCGCCCGCAGCAGCCACGGCCACTGCGGCGTCAGCGCGAGCGACGCCCTGTGTGGCAGGCTGTACGAGGTGCTGGAGACGCCGCAGCGGTACCACCTGGTGCTGGAGTACGCCGCCGGTGGTAACCTGCACCAGCTCATCACCGCCGAGGGCAGACTGGGCGACAGACGGGCCCGCGCCCTGGCCGTCCAGCTGGTGTCGGCCCTCCAGCACATGGTGAGACAGTGGCACGTGCACAGCACGCGCTGACCTCGAACGTGCTGGGTGACACTCGACGAGAGTGCACCGCTGTTTCTTGCGCGCTGAATTCCTATTCTGTAGGTGATTAGAAGGTGCTTGAATCCATTACATGAAACACTGTGCTTGTTGCGTATTGCATGGCGAGACGGCTGAGTCCATGCCAACATAGCGTCGCCGGTATAACACACAGCTGCGTGGTGTCCACTGCAGACACCTCACATGGTGACGAGATGACAGCGGCGCAACACATGGTGAGTCATTAGCAGTGCACACGTGCTAAGAAAACATTCACAGTGCAGCAGAGACCGTGACATGTCAGCAGTACATCAGATGGTGAGACTAGGCCATCCGTGTAGCACGTGACGTGCTGGTGTCAGATGAACTGGACAGTATCGTCAGACCAGAGCCGCTGTCGCCAGTCTTCCAAAATAGCCAGAGGCGGGGTCCTAGGGCACCTGGCGTACGGTAAAGTATCGTAGCTGGCATGCACCATCATACGATAGCCACCTCGCACCAGCTTGTGGTGAGGTCCCGAAGTTCTTTTCTGTCAGCGCCCTGGAGTGTCAACAGCAGAAACAACCGCATCTAGCTTGCTAAGGCTGCCAGTCTCACACAGCTTACAAATGTGGTTTTGTTCATAAATGCGGTCCCTATTCTTGGGCGAGTCTCGAGTAGTAGATACCAGCCCGGTGCTGCATTGTCTCGTTACGCCTTTAGCGAACAGCTCATGCCGACGGTCGGAGCTCGGCCAGTGGTTCCGTTCACTTTCATTGGTTTTTCTTCCGCGCCGCCAGCACGACCAGAACCTGGTACACCGCGACGTCAAAGCCGACAACGTGTTCCTTACGCGACGCGGCCGCGCCAAGCTGGGTGACCTGGGCTTCAGCACGCGCGTCACCAGCGCCACCCAGCAGCTGACGTCGTTCTGCGGCTCGCCGCCGTACGCCGCGCCCGAGCTGCTGGAGGCGGCCAGCTACACCGGCCCCGCCGTCGACATGTGGGCTCTGGGCGTGCTGCTGTTCTTCGCGCTGGCCGGTGCGCTGCCGTTCGCGGCGGCCACGCTGCCGGAGCTGCGGCGTCAGGTGCTGGCCGGCCGCCATCGCTGGCCGGAAGCGGCGGCGCCAGTCGAGCCGGCGCGCCGTCTGGTGGCGGGCCTGCTGCGCCGCCGGCCTGCTCTGCGCCTCTCGGCCGCCGCCGCCGGACGCTGCGCCTGGCTGGCCGGCGAGGTGCCGCCGGCCGCCGGCCGCCGCCTGGCCGTCGAGCCGGCGGCCGGCGGCGCGCACGACGCGGCACGGCGGCGGCTGGCGCAGCTCGGCCTGCCGCCGGAGACACTGGCGGCGCACAGGCACCGCACCGCCCGCAGTCCCGTGGTGGCGTGTACCGGATCGTGCTACAACCGTCTGATGCGGGCTGAGGAGGGGCGAGGAGTCCGACGCGGACTCGCCAGCTGCCCACCTGAAGACACTACCCGGGAGGGTCAAAGGCTGCGTCATCGCCTGAAGTCTCATGCCATTCATGAACAGGGTGATGTGTGCGTATGCTAGTGCCGCTCATGTAATCTATCAGCATTAATACATTTTCTGTGTCGCTATTATGAACGATTGAGGCTGAGGTATGCCAGCTCGGTGTGAAAGACAAACCGTCATTGGCTTTAGTGTTCCGTGATGCGATTTGTGCAGCGTGAAGAGCAGACATGACGTTTGCGGCCCGCTGCATTGACAGCAATGCACTTAACACTTGCAATAAGCGACGTGTTTTTGCTGCTTCTGATGGATGCCATTCAAAAGACTTATAACTTACAGATATGCGTCATAAAAGCGCGAATGTTGCGCACAGAATTGGCTGATCTGCTGAGGTAATCAGCCGCCTGACGGATTTCGTGGCTTTTTGGCGCGCAATAGGCCCCTTTGGTTCTGGCACCTGGGTCTGGAAACTTATTGGAGCGAAACCCGTACATATGTGACAGATGATATTTTAAGCATACATTAGTGCGTAACAGAGCACGCACTCCTGTTTTTCTTTGACAGATCAGCCGTGCATTTCACAATTTTCAAAACATTTGTGGCCGGTACACCATCTCTTACACCGAAATCAACCAGCCCCAGCTCATACGCCAGAATTTTCGTTCGCCTGCGCCACCTGGGCCAACCACGAAGGTGCCGGACAGCTCGTCCGGCCGCCAGAGCACGACCGAACAACCCTAGACCCCGGCATGACCTCTGCCGGATAACGCTCGACACATGACAATTCATGCGAGTGTCGAGTGCAAAACACGCCACGCGACGAGTTTTGAAGTCACGCGACGTAGAGACACCCACGAGCCTGGAAGACCTCAGGACGACAAAAGGCCTTGGCGCCACGTGGAGGCCTCTTGCGTGCCTGTCGCATCACATACCTGTCGCCACTCGTGCATATCAGCACCTTATGTCTTCGTCGGAATATGACACAGGCGTGCGCTACGATCTCAGCTCAGCGCCGACGAACATGCCATTGACCTCCCGCAGTGATCTCTGGTGGACATTGATCAATGGCTGAACCGCCACCGGCACGCACGGCATGGTCACACACCACCTTCTCACAGCGATGCGCTACCATGTGGCTGCCACTGTGCTCAGACATCGAAACCAAGCTTTCTGTGAACAAAACGAAGGCGACCAAAACCGAACAAAGAGCAGCCGGACGCGGCGAGAGGCGGAGCTCTGTCGGGCGGGCGGCTGCCGGCTCCAGGGCGGGGCTCACGCGCGGTCGCTCTCCTCGCCCAGCGACTGCAGGAAGGCGTCCGGCTTAGGCCAGACACTTGCCCAGCTCGTGCTGCAGCTGCACGATCTGCGAGGCCTGCAGCTGCAGCTCGTGCCGCTGCGCGTCGATCACCTGGTCCCGGGCCTGCGGCGCAGCGGCAGGACGGGAGTGGGGCACACCGCACGGGATACGCAAACACACCCGCACGCGCACACAGCCCGGACAACACCGCTTCTGGCGTCAAGCCAAACTTCGCTGCAACCATGCACCCACTGTCCGTGTTGTCGTACGCTCGTTACATGCGGTGTGGGTCTTTTAAGAGACCTACTACAGCCGAGCTACAGTTACTCACGAGCTGCTCAGTTACAGAGCCTGAAATGCACGCAGAAGCCACTAATACTAAGCTGAACCCCACCAATACTGATCCGAAGCTACTTTTGCGTAATGGATATTTTAAACGTGCAGCCCGTTTAGACGCCACTGGGAAGTCCGTGTGTGCGTGCTGTGCGCAGTCAGTGCCTCGTGACAGTGATGTCCAGGTCCTTATCCAAAGTGCTTGATTTTGACCGACGTGCTTGGTGAAAAAACCACCATGGTTGTGGATCCTTGACAAATACACTTCTGGGTCTAAGTCCGTAATATCTGCAGGCTGCGGCGATGACTTCAAATCAAATCCCTATTCCTATCCCCAAGTCTCTGAGCAGTCCCTAAACGCCCAAGAACCCACAGGTCACTTCACACGGCCAGAACGGAGCACACTTCAGCACCGCGCCAGACCGCTCTATCGCCAGCCACGCGCAGCGCCTGGACACGGGCCAGCCGCGTCTGCTGCCGCCGCCTCGGCGGACCTCTCCCCACCTGCAGCTGCTGCAGCTGCTGCTCCTGCAGCTGGTCCAGACGAACGATGGCCTTGTCCAGCTTGGCCTGCGCCTCGGCCGGCGTGACCGAGGAGCGGCGCAGCCCCAGCGCCGACTCTAGGCCGTCCATGCTGTTGCGCAGAGCGTGTAGCTCCGCCCGCAGGTTGTTGATCTCGGCGATCAGCGCCACGTTCTCCTGGCGACGGGCCCCGGCCGGCGGTCAGCAGGAGCGGGCCGGCGCACCGTCAGGGCGGCCAGGAGGAGGGAGGTGAGGGCCCCGGCCGGCGGTCAGCAGGAGCGGGCCGGCGCACCGTCAGGGCGGCCAGGAGGAGGGAGGTGAGGGCCCCGGCCGGCGGTCAGCGGGAGCGGGCCGGCGCACCGTCAGGGCGGCCAGGAGGAGGGAGGTGAAGGGCACGGTCAGGACAGCGAGCAAGCTCAGGGTGGTCAGGAGGAGGGAGGTGAGGGGCACGGCCAGGACAGTGAGCAAGTTCGGGGTGGTCAGGAGGAGGGAGGTGAGGGGCACGGCCAGGACAGCGAGCAAGGTCAGGGTGGTCAGGAGGGGTGAGGTGAGGGACGCAGCCAGAATAACGAGCAAGATCAGAGTGGTCGAGGGGGGGGGGGGGGGGGGGGTCGGAGCATGGCCATAACAGCAAGGAAGGTCACAGCGCGGCGCCAGGAGCGATCCCAGCCCTGGCTCACAGCGGCTGCCTGTGACCTTTGTAACACACAGGCACGGAAACTGGCCCCAGGGGGAGGGTGGGCCGTAGCCTTCTCACAGAAGCTGACCGCATCTACACTCTTCAGAAGTTTACCACTAGACCTCTCAAGTGCTGCAAGGGATGAATTGTCTTAAACACGGGTCGGGCCTACGCCGCTTTTTGAGGGGACATTTCTGCACCTCTGGGTGCGGAGTGTCGTATCCTCTCAGCTGACCTGAACCTGTCACCAGTTGCAAGAGCAGGTGGCTCCAGCGCGCGGCTGTTGCCTGCACTGGCTGGCATCGGCGTGTTCACCAGTCGTCCGGTCTCGGGACTACCCCATATGGTCCTGGACTCGTCACGCTGCATGCACTGGCTAGCACTGTCCAAGTCCTGTGACATTATCCACGATAACCAATCCGAAAGCCCTCCCACTCCCGCCCTCTCGGGTGCCGATAATGTAGCGGTGGACGCGTCTGCGTTATCGCTGCGCGTCTGGGAAACTGGAGGCACGAGGCTTGATTTCCCGCGGTGCCCACCCTTCCTGCCAGGGTGAGAGGCAGATGACGCCATGCAGCCTCGGCAGCTGAATGCGTCTTAGAGCCCCAAAGCCACATCCCGCCCTCCCACCGACGGGCGCCGCCTGTTGCCGGCAGCCGTACCTGCACGACGCGGATATTGTCGGCGCGCTGCAGGTGCGTGTCCTTAGTCAGCTTGTGCTTGAGTCCGGCCACGGTGCGCTCCAGGTAGTCACGCTGTCGGCTGAACTCCTTCAAGCTGGAGTCGTCCACCAGCAGCTTCTCCGGCCGGATCTCGGACGTCACATGTTTACTGTAGAGCGCCTGCCGGCGGACGAGCGGGTTCGGGCAGCTGACACCGCAGGTCAGGCGGGTCATGGTCAGTCCACGGGCAGTGCAGTCGAGGCCCAGCACTACGGTCTCTTTCATAACCAGAAACTTCTTAACCAGGGCAGATAACCCTCGGATACGGAGTTCAGTGATAATCTTGCCTATCCACCGAACGAACCCAGATCCCTATTTGACGCAACTTGGCGGGGTGTCTGAGACCAATCGTCAAAAGTGGGTTAAAAAAGTGGGAAGTGGGTTAAATCCGGGGAGAAAACCATTTGTTCGCGTATTTTGGGGGCAGGTTGCGTCCTTTTCCACCCCCCCCCCCCCCCCCATTTATCCACCCACCCCAAAACCCTCCCTCCACCTGTCTGGTTGGCCTTGTACCATTGTAAATAATAAAAAGCAGGGAACTTTTTCTCCTACTCTATTACAAGTAAATACCAAACCCAAGCCGACAAGACAAACGAAACGCAAAGAACATGCTCATGAAAAGATGCGCCCATCAAGGATGGTACGACGGGCAGCCCGCCGTGTGAAGACAGAACTCGTCATTTTGGTACTTCACAAACGGCCACAGTTCTGTCCACGGGACGGCTGGGAGCAGAGATGTTTGTGCCCGCAACTGAAAACAGCGGTGTTTGTATCCACAGCTGGGAGCGGCAAGGTTTGTGTCCGCAGCTGAAAGCAGCGAGGTTTGTGTCCGCAGCTGGGAGCAGCGAGGTTTGTGTCCGCAGCTGGGAGCAGCGAAGTTTGTGTCCGCAGTCAGCCTCAGTCGAGCAAAGCTTGGCCTAAATCAGCTCTGACGCTGCCATAAGGAAAACATGTACCGAACAAGGATATTCGCTGAGTCGGGCTTTGAGTTTTATCAAACATCTTACAACAGACCAGTATCACTCCCGTCTGCTGTGCTTTTACGATGGCTATACCTTCCCACCGGCAAACACGACCTCTCTCTGTCGCAACGCCAGCTGAACTCGAAGCCCCACTGATGACGGACCGGACGCCGCCGGCGGACCACGCACCTTGATGCTCTCCTTGAGCTTTTTCGGGTCCTGTATGAAGTCCATGCAGGAGAACAGGTCGCTGCGGTAGCGGTTCATGACGACGGTGAAGTCAAAGTTGCGCTGCACGGCGCGGTGCAGCTCAGCCTCGATGGCATGCAGCTTCTGACGGAACTCCTGCAGCTGCAGCTCCTGCTCCGTGTTCTTTTTGTGGTAGTTCTCCAGCTCGTTCTCCATCTGCAGGAACATAGTATTAAGTCGCACAATCTACGGTAAGGCAGCAAGCACAAAAATACAGCAGACTTTCAGTAATTACAAGCAGCCAACTAACTAAAATAACTCACAGCGTTGATAGTTTCCTTCATGTCTTTTATTTCGATTTCCCGTGGTTCAATCTGCTTCTTAAGTTCTTTGATCTTGTAATCAAGCACAAATTTGAACTTCTCTAGCTCCTGGTTCTTTTTCTTCAGATCGTAAATGCGCTTTTCCTGCAAAATAGAAAGCAACATTAAGTTGACTATATCTCTACACCTCCAAACGTATCAAATGTGTTTTCAACCATTTAAGCAAGATACTAAAACAGCAGAATTTTCTGCTTTCCTTACCGCCTTCTGAGAACAGTCGCATACCTGCGCACAACTACGTCACAAATCACAATAATGACATTTGCAAACATCTACGTCAAAGTCTGTGCCCACACCTGCGTCGCAATAGGCTTAATCATGATTGTGGGCGAGATGCTACAGTTTGGCGTCGCTTGGGGATAGCAAGTGTTTGTGGGAATGATAAAGCCACTCTAACGCGCTTCACTCGCACCCAGAAGGACACACTACACGGGTGTGTGGAGTTTCCGTTTATATCTGTCCGTAAACAATGAACACACATAAATAAGGAAGCACACCATGTGTGTGTCATGTTTCCGTCTACACTTTTTCATAACACAAAACACGTCCGCGTATCCACCTCGGCCGGCCACTGGGGTCTCGACTGAGGGAACGCATTGGTCGTTTGGATGCGCAAATATTACACTACAGGGCTCAGCGTGAATGAAAAGGAAGTCCCCGTAAGGTCACATCATCTGGGTCAAAATGCCAGTCTACAGCAGGCAAATAGAACTTCTGAGCTCTGGCCGAACTTGTGCCGAATCATTTGTGCCCCAAATGACCACGTTGATGAAATTATACGGTCTCATCCGCACTGACCATCTTCTGTATGCTAGTCAAAGTGCGCTGCCTGAAGTGCACGCCTGAACAAAGCGTCACACACGCAACAATCGGCACAACAATCAAACAAAGCGTCACACACGGCACAACAATCAAACATTCACAGTCCTGAAGTACAGCACGATGAATCGGTCGGGGCAGGATAACGGAGCGAGGAACACTCTGTTGATCCAACACGGTGTCACTTGTAAAAAGTTCGCTCTCGGTGCGCATCGAACGTAAACTAATCTGATCAGCCAATATATGCTGCCAGCGACACTGCTCCTCCGATCAGTATTGCTGGCAGCATACCCGACAGCACCCGAGCGAGTCTTAGACATCTGAGCGGGAAGACCACGGAGAAGAGCACGCACCTTTTCATTGATGGTCTCGTCCCGCTCCTGCACCTCCTTTCTTCAGGCCGATGATGTCGCGCTCGAGGTTCTTGATGATGGACTGGAGCTTGCTGTGCTCGCCCTGAAGACGCTGGATCTCCTGTCGCTGCTCCTCCAGCTCCTTTGTCAAGCTGAAAACGGCCACAGCGCCAGCCTGTAATCCGCGCCAGACACTGCCACGCCGCTGAAATGTCGGGTCCATCCATCCATCGACAATGCACCGACGCCTGACGCCGCGTCTCTGCCTGTGCGTCAAGGACGGGTCAAGGACGAACGGAGATCGTCGCAGCCGCAGCTGACGCCGCTGGCGTGGCGTCCAGGTCCGAGCCAGGAGCGCCAGCCTAGAGGGCGGCGCCGTCACTGGCCGCCACTTACCTGACGAAGCGCTTCTCTTCATCACTACCCGTCTCGCCGCGCATCGTCGCACGTTGGCGTTGCGCTCCGCCTTCAGCTTGTACTCGTACTTGGTCTTGATGTCGACGATCTCACGTCGCCGTCCTCCTCGATCTGGGACCTGCATCTCCTCGTAGGTCTTCTTCTGCTGGTCAGCCTCCTCGCGAGCCTCCTCCAGCAGGGCGACCTTCTCCCGATCCGCTCCTCGTGCTCCTCGGCCTGGGCGGACAGCACCGCCTGGGTCGGCGGCGGCCAATCCACCAGCTGTCTGGCCGACGAGCGGAACAAGGTGAGCGTAAGGGAGAACAGGGAGGCTGATGCGGGGAGAATATTTAGGGCATGGTGGAGCGCTCTAGATCTGAAGTAGTACGTGCTTGCGGGGCGGCCGCGTCTGAGGTTTTAGGTACACTGGTCAAACAAAAATGACACATGACGTTGTCGAACTTGCTGACAGATCAGCTAGAAACAGCAATGACTGACACGGACCTAGCCACGTTACTTGTAAGATTATGCCGACTCTGACTATTCGGACGACAGCTTGCAACGCTTCAGAATATCAGGTGTGACAAAAACCAATGAGGCTCTACTGTGGACACTCGCATGGAAACCAGCGAGCGTAAAATATAATGGAATTCAAAAAGTCACAGAGCCTGCAGCCGCCGTTAACACCGGTCCCAACACCGCCTTGCCGCCAGGCGGCGTGGTGCCTTCTTGGCCCGGCCCCAAACACCGCCTGTGCCAGAACAACTCACTTTTCATAGTCTTCCTTCATCATGGCCATCTTGTTCTCCAGCGCTTGGTACTTCTCATACTCAACGATAAGCTTGGCGTTGCTGTTGGACTCGAGCAGCTGCACCTCCTCCTGGTGCTGTGCTCGGATGTCCTCCAGCTGCTGCTTGTGCGCGTCACGGTCGGCCTCGTTCTCCTCTTTCAGGCTCTGCAGGCGGCCGCCAGCGACGCGCACGGTCACCGACGAGTCGAACGACAGTCAGCCAGCAGCCGCTGACGTTGGGTCATGGGCTTCAGGGTCAGGCTTAACAACTAGTCACAGATAAACCTCAAATGTGGCAATGCCAAACCGGCTGTTGTTAGAGATGATCCCAGAGCCTACCTGATGTGGACTCGCATCGTGTTAGAGATGATCCCAGAGCCTACCTGATATGGACTCGCATCGCAATGCACAGCGCAGTCGAATGCAACAACCCAGCACATTGAGAACTGCTCTCAGGGCAGGAACACAATACCCCGCATTTTCACCGTTCTTCAACTTTACGTTTCGGGCAAGCTTGCATCAAGGTGCAGGACAGTTAAGACTTTCAATAACTAACGACGTGGCTAGCAGCTCTTGAACCACAGATCACGGTTTGGTAGCTGCAAACATACCCGTGCCGGACAGCTTAATTCACCGCATTCCAGTTCAGCGTCTAGCGGCATCTCACGGCCAACGGCACCCCGACTGGACAGCGGGTGCTCTCCACGGCCCCGTCCCACTGGGCAGCAGGCGCCCGCCGCCGCCGAGTCCATTTCACCTCGATGGTGTCGTTGAGCGTCTGGATATCCTGGTCGGCGCGCTCGGTCAGCTGCCGGATCTTGTCGCCGTACGTCATGTCCTTGAGCCGCAGCTGGTACTCGTTCTCCAGTCGCAGCTCCGAGACGCGCGTGTTCAGCTCGTTGATGAGTCGCGTCTTCTCCTGAGAACCAGGTGGAGAACCCTCCGGCGTGAGACCCGACGGCGGTCTCGTCGTTCCGGTCAGAGCCACCGGTCACCAGTGTGCGTGACCCAGCGACGAGAACTGCGTCACAAACGGCAACGGAAAGTAAACGACTGGCTTGTTCCAGCTTACCGAGCACGAGTGACCGATCCCGCCTTACGTTCTCAGTGATGGCGCGGAGCGGGGTACTCACATCTAGCTCTACTTTTGAGACGAGAATCTCCCTGGCGTAAGGAATGGGGCTGCTCCCTCCCCGCTTTGAGAGACGGCCCTCGGGTCCTGGATCTGCCACAGCGCCAGAGTGCCGTCCGAGCAGTGTGACATCTGCGATCGTCCGCGAGCACCGCCATCTGCCGGTCAGACAACCAGTTGCTGTTACATACACCAGCACTAGAGGGGACTATCGCATGCTGACGAACAGCGCTCAAAAGACGCTGGCAGACAGGCGCATGGACGGATCGTGAGGGGGAGGGGGAGGGACAAGAAGGCAACGGCAACGGCGACGGCATCGTGATCGGATTGTGAAAATGCCGGCCTTGGCTCTTTCTAGGCCTGCCTTCTGGCAATAATCTGGCCCTTGCCCAAGTGTTTGTAATTTGATCCCTCGAGATTCGATGCTGGGTATACGCCTCGACAGGTCTGAAGTAATCAACAAAGCCATCTGGCCCCGACACCCGCCACAGTCGCGGTTGTTGTCAAGAGCACCTCGGCACAGACGGACACGAAACCGACTGCTCGGTGTCGGAGGTCTCTGGCCGAAATAGAGGCCCGCATTCTCCCAGGGATCTCCAATCGGTGTAGAAGACACTCTTACTGACATCTGAGGTCACGGTCTCATGGGCGGGGTGCTCAATGTGACCTGCTGCAAGCCCTTGGGCTCTTCGGACACATAAGCCTTCCAGTCAGGCCCTTCATCTTTGGTACCAAGGAATTCCTCAGGTCCCTGTTTGGGCCGCCTTCAGGCCCCTCGGCAAGACGCATGATTGGCTCACAGCCCTTTACCAGCACAGGACACGCTGTTAGGCACTGTGGGTCCTTGGTCAGCACAGAGGCCTCTCACTGACTCGGGGGCCTCGACCAATGTAAATCGCGAGCCCCGGCCTTTACCCTGCTTGGGAAATCGGCACTCACACCCAGGCCGACCGGAACCGGACTACCAGTTCTGATGATGTCTGACTGACACCGGACACTCAACGACTTCGGGAGTCCTCAAGCGGCGCAGAAGGCCCTCTGACTGGCACTCGAGGGCCCAGCCTTGCAGACCGGGCCGCTTAATACGATCTCCAACAACCCTTTCGGGCCCTCAAATCTGGACCTAAACGGCGGGGGCGGGCACGTGGCCCCTGTGACCTCCCTCCGTCTGCACTACTGGTTCCACGCCAACGGAGTTACCATACGCAGCTTTTTTGCACGATGAGATTGAGCGATGTGAGTGTTTTTCATAATTGCTTCCGGTATGAGTATAAGAGCGCCATTCGCGTGAAACGGATCAGGGCGGAAGACCACGTCCGCCGCAACCCCGGGCGGAAGATCGCTCCAACGACCCTGACGGACGTGGCGAACAAGCTCATCCGCGGCGCTGCCCGACGGCCGGGACGGCCGCCGCACCCACCACGCAAACACCCACCCACCTTGGTGATGGCGTCGTTGTGGGCGAAGTGCTCCTCCCACTCGCCGGGGATGGAGAGCGGGAACTTGACGGAACGCAGCACGCCGCTCTGCAGGCCCAGGAAGAGCATGCGGCCGGAGCGAGACAGCGCCACCCAGGTGGGCACCACATCCTGGCAGCTGACTTCGCGGATCACCTGCGGTCACGCGGCACCGGCTGCTGTCACATGCGGCAACACACTGCCGCTGGACGCGTCAACACAATGCGGCAACGCACTCCACCGCGTCAACACACTGCGTCAACGCACTGCATCGCATCAACACACTGCCGCTGGACGCGTCCACACAATGCGGCAACACACTGCACCGAGTCAACACGCTGCCACTGGATGCGGCAACACACTGCGCCAACATGCTGCACCGGGTCAACACATTGCCGCTGGGCGCGCCAACGCACTGCGTCAACGCATTGCACCGCATCAACACACTGTCGACACACAACACACGCTGCGTCAACGCACTGTACCGCGTCAACACCCTGCCGCCGGACGTCCTGGAGAGGAGCTGTACCGCCCGCTTCGTGGGAACCACCAGCTCAGCCAATCTGTGTGTGGTTCCGTAGCTAGAGCATGAGGCTTGCGTGTTCAAACTCGTTACGAATATAGCTAACCACATTTGACCAAACGCTTTGAGAAATATACCGCGAAACGCTATCACTGATGAGTCATGACATGAAATATAAAATAAGTATAGAGGCGTCAAACTTATTGGATGGGAACAAAATGTTTGCGGGCAATAGTGGGAGTCATGCACACACATCACCACGTAGTTTGACACCCAGCAAAGTCCATGATGTTCGATTTTAACCTGTAAGGGTGAGCAGCCTTACTGCGAACGCTGGCCTGCGATTTGCTGAGGCATTTGCTGTTCTGTTCGCTGGGGGAGAGACGTTCAAGGCGCTGTTTCACATGGCCAGCCAGCCAGGGGTCACAGCAGAAGTCAGTGGCGTAGCGTACAGGTCAGTTATGTTGCAACAAGTCAGGTCAAACCACATGATGTTCCGATGTTTTTCAAGGCGCTTATCTATTCAAATTAAACACGATAGTAGGGTTATATCAAAGTGCAGTGAGCAAACCAGGACGTGCGTTACATGCCTACGACACAGACCTGGTGACGTTCACAGCATCAGTGCCATCTCATGTCAGATCAGGTGGCAACATATGGACGGCTGTGGGGGAGGGACTCTCCCACAGGCTGGTGTGTACTGTATTGCGCTGTCATTGGCATATAAAATGGATGGTGTATAGATCGAACTATCCTTGACACGTGTTGAGTGATACGTGACCCCGAAATCATGTCAGGTCAAGAACGCAACTCCGGTCTCGGCATCACGAATACCAAGCAAATGCACATCATCCTCGTAGGCCGTTCGTTAAACGCAAAACAGCTTTGTACTGTCTACAGCGGGCCGTCTAAAAATTATGCCTAAACTGGCGTAATCTACGATCAACGGTGGGATAAACTCATTTATCGTGACCATTTTACACGAACCGTGACATCATGTCAAGTCACAAAACCACGCATCGCTCTCGGCGTTTGTTGAAAATCGTCATTTTGACGTTATCTGGCTGGAGTTTGGCTACCACAAGTTTGTGTCACAAAATGAGACATGAAGCGAAATGGGTTCCAATTTAGCGAGCGCAAATGCAGACGAAGCGCGGAGGCAAGGTGTTATAGGGGTCATTTGTGGCTTCTCCACGTAATATGAGACAACCTCAGCCTCAAATTTACTTGTCATGACGTCGTAACAAATCCGAAACTATTACAAATGTTTATCACAAATACGTAAAGAAATAAAAATCGGGGGCTAACTTTAGGGCTCTGATTCCAGGGACCCATGCAACCAAAACATTTAGAGTTTCAGACTATCATCTTCTTTAAAGGAGTTAGCACGATGCTCAACACCCAGACACATGGAGGCCTGCAATAGCAATTTTGCCTACAACAAGCAAAATCAACTTCTGAGAAATTACGGCGCTTGATTATCACTCTATGTAAAGGGAGATCCTTACTTTTACGGTATATCAGCAGTCTACAAACAGCCGAGACCGACCGAATTCGGACGGGCGGCTGCCTTCCTCTTGGGAAAGAGATCAATATCCCGTAACACGCCAGTTTCATTCACAGACTGTCGCAGCGAACAATACTAGCCCTGACATGTACTTTTGTGGTGACGTAGCAGCGTCACGAAAAAGGCGGCCACGCGTCCTTCCCAGTAAGTGTAAAAACGTATTCGTCAGTGGGCCACATACGCTGACCAGGGTGATCAGCATGTTTTACTTCACGTCACTGAAGTGTATGTGTGTGACTTCGAGAAAAAACAGCGGTCTCGCTCAGTGCATATATACCACGACGGGTACTCTGATCTATTTGTTGTAAAAACAGGTCATGAAGGCGAACAAAGTTGAATGAGAATGAAACGCATCAACGGGTATAATGAAATCTTGCGGAAATGGTCACAGGTTTTCATTACACCTGTGCTGCCTTCTTTGTTCGATGGAACTTTGGGCTTATTGGCCGCCCATCAGCACGGACCCACCATCTGGTATCAGTGCGGCTAGTGCTGATACCAGTACCCGATACCAGAGCGGCAAGAGCCGCGGCTTGACGACATGCCGAACCAGAGCCCTCCTGTCCACTGAGCAGATAACAGCCAACGGTTGCCATGGCATAACGGACGCGAGTTTACGCTCGAAGAGCCAAACAAACTTACTTCACGTCTGCCCCATTCCACATGTTATTTCTTGCACAGCAGTGCCTGATTTAGGAGTCATCAACGGTGCGTGTAATAAACAAATGTGCGATCAATATCTTGTAACTTTCCGTAAACAGTTGTTTTGCATAGAAACCAATAGGATGTTCGAGTCCACACCAACGAGAGCTGGAGGAATTACATAAATCTCAGCACTACCGAACCAATCTGTCGAAGAGGGATCATGCTGAAGCAAGGACGTTGGATAAAGAGTAGGGTATAAAAGGCGGACGACTGGCAATAACTGGGCCGCGCCAGGCCGGTCGGGCAGGAGGCGGGTATACATCTCTGCACCCGGCCGGAGGGCTTTTGAGAGCTTCTCAAACCTACAAAACCATGCGTGCTGGCAACAAAACAACAGAGGGCCTATGGAAATATTGCTTTGACATCGAATCACGCCGTGTTTCACATCACTGGCAATGACGAATTCGCCGGAGATGGGAACAGGCCCAGAATATTACGCTCTTGTCGGAATAGACTGCATATAAGAAAAACCGTGTTTTGCAAAGCCGGTTAATGAGGAACGGCACCATGAAATATATTTGATAACAAGATAAAAACAAAACTCAGCCCAGATTAGACAGTATCAGCTCATTAATCCTCAGGCTGAGGAGAGAGGTATACACTGAACAACTACATTACATTTTTGAGAAATAGCGCACAACTTTCAAGCTAACCTCCTGCCATCTTCAGCAACACCTTTCACATGAATTTCGAGCATCCCCCGGATAGTTTTTACTGAGTTCACGCCTGACCAATGACCTCGGCAAGCTCAAACTGATCTACAGAGGGTCAGGTCCAAATAGCACCATAGGGTCATCAGAGCAAGACTGTCTAAGCCGCTCTTCATTTAAGCTTTGGCAACATGCCCTCCAGCCGCGCAATTAGTCGCGTTACACGTGCCCTGAAACGTTAGCTTTCATCAACGTTTTATCACTCATTCAAGTCGGTCTTTATCCCAGATTTTAATACCAGCAAAGCGAGGCAATCAACATTCCTCTTCTGACTTGACATCGTCTCTTTCTCTCTCACATGTACGGGACATTCTGCCCCTGCAGGTCACCACAAGTCGCTGGCCACGCCTTGACCGCTGGTTCTCATGGCTTTCCAAATAGTTCAGCTACAAATAATAGAATGACTTCAACAAGTGTCCTCATATTGCATAACCTATCTGGTGACGAGGGTATGCTCTCTCCTCATCTCTATCCTGGCCTGCGATAGTAGGAGGGGTAGGCACCTGCCCTCCCCCCCCCCCCCCTCCTTCCCCTCTGTCGCTTCCACGTTGTCGCGGAGTCCCACCGTTATCAGAGTACAGCGCGAGAGCGTTCTCAGATGTCTAGGTAAAGTAGCATGCGTTTAGGTTATGTCAGAACGAACCACATGGAACAGAACAGCATTTGGTCGAAAGATGCGCTACAGGACATTTAAAGCCCGTAAAAGGCGTTCGAAAAGTCTTCATACCTAAGTAAACGAGGGACAGCACATGTAGACTGGGCGATGGTGGTACAGTGTTAAGAACGTTTGGCTCTGAAGCTGTCGGTCCTGGGTGCAAAGCCCTGTCTCGCCACAGCCATACCCCGCATGGTAACTAATAAAGGCATTCCGTCCCGAAATGGCCCTGACAGTCGGTAAGACGTAAATCCCAAATCATAATCACCATCGTCGTCATGATCATCATTATCACCATCGTCATAAACCCGTTATCATCATCATCACAAACAACTGTCAAGTGAAACAGTCAAAAACACTGTGGATTAAAACAAAGATGTAAAAAAATCGACTTTCTGTTTGGCATGGATTGAGGGTGATGGACCTTGGGTTTCATCTTACCTTCAGAGCTGCTGTGTCATGTTCTTTCCATCATTTTGGAAGTCAACGCGTACCGTACACTCAGTGGTTCTGCAGAACGTTATAAATGCAACATGATTCTGATGCAGCTCCACATTTGCCTGCGGAACCGAATCCAGGGGACCGCGGTGCTCCAGCCCCTGTCGGACGGCGCGCCCGCTCACCTGGGAGTCGGACACCTCCTTGATGAGTTTGTCGGAGCCGACAGCGTAGATGGTCTTGGCGTCGGGCGAGACGGCCGTGCTGAAGTAGTTGCAGCCGCGCAGCACGTTCTCGCCGCAGCGCCGCCCCAGCTGCAGGTCCCACTCATAGATGGCACCCTCCATGCCGCACGACACGAGGCGGTTGTCCGACGGCGCCCAGCGGAGGGCACGGATCTGACGGCGTCAGGTCAGGTCAGGTCAGGCAAGGCAATATCAGATCGGACGATCTAAGACGGCCGTTCGACGGCGCCTAGCAAAGGGTTAAATACTTGGCGGCGTCAGACCAGGGCAGGTCGCACAAGCCTGGCAGTGCTATGTTTGGCGGGTACGGTCAGGTCGGGTCAGGTCAGGTCAGGTCGTTTGAGGTACCCCAACCACGCAGGCACCCCAACAATCCATCAAACCATCCCTACCGACACCAAACGTCCCAGACCTCACGACAGGCGACAAATGCAAATTGTTTCCTGAGTAGTGATCACGTGACACGACAGCAGGACTGGTCACACAACCTGCGCACACCCACCAGCTCCCGATCACACGGGGCACACGACCTGCGCCCCCCAGCTCCCGATCACACGGGGCACACGACCTGCGCCACCCGCCAGCTCCGATCACACGGGGCACACGACCTGCGCCACCCGCCAGCTCCGATCACACGGGGCACACGACCTGCGCCCCCCCAGCTCCCATCACACGGGGCACACGACCTGCGCCACCCCCAGCTCCCGATCACACGGGGCACGACCTGCGCCACCCGCCAGCTCCGATCACACGGGGCACACTACCTGCACCACCCGCCCCCACGGGGCACACGACCCCCCCCCCCCCCCCCCCCCCCCCCCCCCCCCCCCCCCCCCCCGATCACACGGGGCACACGACCTGCGCCACCCCCCCCCCCAGCTCCATCACACGGGGCACACGACTGCGCCACCCCCAGCTCCCATCACACGGGCACACGACCGCACCCCCCAGCTCCCGATCACACGGGACACGACCTGCACCCCCCCAGCTCCCATCACACGTGACACGACCTGCGCCACCCCCGCATCACACGGGGCACACGACCTGCACCGCCGCCAGCTGCTGCCTCCTTGCCTTGCCGCCGTTGGCCCTTGAGGTTGCCGACGTTCTCGAACGTGATGGTCGAGTAGATCTGGATGACGTTGCCATGCACCGCGCGAACAGGTGGCCGCCGTTGCTGAAGGCGCACTGCTGCACGAGCGGATGGCAAAACTCCTTGATGGGTCGCAAGTCTTCATCAGAATCATCATGTAGCGCAGCTTGTCCGAGAAGCCGGCGAGCAAGCTGTAGCCTGCCGGAGAGAGGGCCGACCGTCCGGGTCATCGCAGCGTTCCCTACCCGGCTCAGGAGGGCTCGATGGCGGAGAAGGCCGACCTTCCAGGTCGCCGCAGTGTCCCCTACCCGGCTCAGGAGGGCTCGATGGCGCGAGAGGGCCGACCGTCTGGGTCACTGCAGTGCCTCCTCTCGGCTCAGAGGGGAGGGAGAGGGGGGGGGGGGATAGGAGGGACTGAACCACTGCAGTTGGTCCCCGGTCGTTTTATACCCACGATTTCATGTGTGGTGAGAAGAGACGGAGAATCGCGCGCATACCAGAGCGAATACTATTGCCATTCAAGTATGGCTCTGGTTACTCGCACATGCCCCAAAGGTATTTTTTAAGCTCAAATCGAATTTTATGAAAGCCAAGTGGGCACCTTTTTACATTAATGGCAAAAGAATACTCACAACTTCTCGATCCGTTCTAGTGAAAGTTTTCTGCGAATTCAACAGTACCATCTTTTATACACAGCTTGGCGCTTCTAGCCCGACAGTTTCTGTGCACCAGACCCAGGAGCCGGCCGATAATGCATCACTGGTTAGATGGTGCAAGATCGCTCCTTTCATTCACAAAACTGCTTCCCCAGAACGCAAACTAGGAAAGCGTTGGACCGTGGGCTGGAACTAATTTTGATGCGGAGACTTCTGGACACATCACAAGCGCATGTTTAGGTCTCAATAAGGTCAATTCCGTGTCCAAGATCACCGAGAATTGGACTTTCATCGCGCCTCTCATATCAATATCAAAGTTCAAGCCAACTAGCTGCGCTTTAGTCACTGATAAGTGACCACTCGCAGCCAGTTTCCTTGTTAGTCACAGGATTATACGCATCAGCCCTTGCATCACACTCTAGCTCTGGTCTCTCCGTATCCTGAGTAACAACCATCGCAATGGCATGCAAAGAAACAAATGCGTTGCAGCTGAATCATCTCATTCTTTGCGATGCGGCCTGCACACTTACGTCCCTGTTTCTATCGTCATTTAGCTTCCACTAAGAGCCGCGGCACGACTCTTGTAGTTCAGAGGCGAGCATAGCTTTTTAAAAATATTTAATCCGAGCCCTTTGAATGGATGAATTTCTGGGATCATAGCACACGCTAAGCAGTGCTTGCTGTATAAACCCTGAATCATACCATGAGATCGCGCAATCCAGGTCAACGGCAGAATTCGATGGCGAAAGCTTAACTTCCCGCAATGCTCAGCACAGTCTGTCATGCCCTCTGACGTCATCCGACCTTTATCGCGGCCGCTGCCACAGACCGCAGGTCATACCTGCCAAGGACAAATAGCGAGCGCCAAAGCGGCTCGACCTCATCCCGCCACGGGTGGATGAATCGGCAGGCATGCCCTCCAACCGACTGAGCCCTCGGGACGGGCTTATTGCATCGGGACTAGTTAAGCCATACTCTGATGCAAAACACGTAAAACTCTACTCCGTCATCAGATCGCACGCTCAGAGCGGTGGAGGCCTCAGACAAGGCCTCAGCACAACGCATCACGCCTCAGACAAAGGCCAGCTCTGCCTGAGCCCGGGCGCGCTCCGCCCCCGACCGCGCACCCTGGCCGGGGCGACGGCCGGCCGTACCGAGCGGGTGTATGCGAGCACCCTGGCCGGGGTGACGGCCGGCCGTACCGAGCGGGTGTATGCCAGCACCCTGGCCGGGGCGACGGCCGGCCGTACCGAGCGGGTGTATGGTCAGCACCCTGGCCGGGGCGACGGCTGGCCGTACCGAGCGGGTGCATGCCAGCACCCTGGCCGGGCGACGGTCGGCCGTACCGAGCGGGTGTATGCCAGCACCCTGGCCGGGCGACGGCCGGACGTACCGAGCGGGTGTATGGCCACGCTGTGCAGATCGTCCTGGAACTGTTTGTACACGTCCAGCGTCATGGTCTTGTGGTTCCAGACGGCCACGGTGCGGTCGGAGCCGCACGTGACGGCGAACGGCCGCCGGAACGACAGGTCCATGTCCAGGATGCTGCCGTAGTGGAACGGCGTCGACAGGTGCTCGAACAGGCAGTCGGCGCCCTGCCGGCGGTCAGCAACTGGGTATCTCGGCACGGCTGAGCGCTCGCCAAGGAGGGATGCATGAGTCAAGCGATGCGCACACATGAGTCGGTTTTTGCTATGCTAGGCAGTGGAAGGCGCATGCAGACGATGACCCTAGACAATAACTTCAATACTTGGCTCCTCGTCATTTGTTCCTGTTTCGAAACGTTGCAATGTGCATGACATGCTGCACCCCCCGCTCTCTCACACACACACCACCTAACAACTGGGAGTGATAGGTACACCATGTGCCACGGCACAACCCCGGACCCCAGCGGCCGTCTGGTTGCCGCGACACCCTGCTTGCTAAATCAATTTCCTGAATATTTATCGACGCGGTCGCCAGTGCTAAGGTCATAGCACTCGCGGCCTATTTCGCTGACTGATGCTTTCCAGCCAACGAAATAGGGTCTCATGGGAGAGCCTCACTTGCTCACTCTAAACTGCCGCCGTTCCCTTTCCCCAAACGAGCCCCCCCCCCCCCCCCTCCGCCCGGCTTCACACATGGCCCACCGCCGCCAGCGACACCTTGCTGGTGAGGAAGACGCTGCTCATGGCGATGACGTAGAGCTGGCTGCGCGTGGAGGCGGCGACAAGTGTCTCCTCGGAGGGGCTGACGGCCAGGCCGGTGATACCCTCCTGCAGGTCGGCCGAGGCCGCCAGGCGGCCCGGGTCCTGTGGTATGTGCACGGTGCGCAGCAGCCGGTAGAACTCCGTCGTCTGGTCCTCGGCCCGGTCGAACACGTGTGCCACGCCCACGCCGCACACGGCCACGAACCCCTGTGGGGATGGGGCGGTCGAGCGGGGTCGGAGCGGGGACGGTGGCGGGGGACGAGAGCGACCGCGGCTGTCAGCGGCCACAGGAAACGTCCAGCAAACCGAGCAAGTGATGGCTGCGACTGGACATGGGTGCAGCCCGCCAGCCCGAGCGCCTCAGATAAGCCGCCAAGTGCGCACGTCATGTGACCAATCTGGACCGCGGGACGACTTCCAACAGGCTGTGCCCTTGTGCAGAGGGCGATCAAACTGCATCAGGCACCCGGCCAATTGGAGGACAGTTGTGACAATACTGTCCGCCCACGGCGCGCGGGAGGGCATCCGTGCCACTCCCCGCAGCGACGCCACCTCGGACGAGGTACGCGGTCCGACAGGCGCCCGTCGGCGGCGGCCTGTGCGTGCGCCGACCTTTGAGAAGGTGACAATGCTGGTGACAGGCTCGCCGCCGCTGGAGATGACGGAGCTGGAGCGGGCGGCGCTGGTCGAGCGGCGCTCTGGCTCGGCCGTCGGCTCGCGGCTGGCCGCCTCCGACAGCCGGAACTCGGCCTTCAGCTCGGCCGCGTCGTACAACACCACGCGGCCCTGGTCCGTGCCCACCAGTAGCCGGTTCTGGCCTGCACGGGCACCGGTCGAGCCGAATTGTCACCGGGGCCGCTGGGCTGCTCCAGCCAGAGCACACCACGTTGTAATGGCAGGCCATACCACTCTTAAACGGTGTACCACCTTGCTAGTTCATGTATACGCCTTCGGTCAATCAAAACGAAACAGAAATGCTGTGAAGTGGAAGTATAGCTGCAAACATCTCACAAGGCTAGCAGTGAAGGTGAGCTTCATTCGATGGGCCGTGACGTTCAACGGTTTCCGGAATGGTTTGAGAGCCACTAAAACGAGATGCTATGATTAACAACAACGTTTACAACGTTTCCATAATGCCTGTAACGATGTGACGGTCGGATCACATGGGCTGCATTTCGCGCTCCGGCGCCCGAAGGCATATCTTATGTGTCTAGCTTATGTTATATCTTTCTTATAATATGCACTCTAAAGCACTGTCCGTTCGGCATCCTGGAACACCGGACACCTGTGCTTATGAGACCAATCACAAACGCCAGGACCGCGGACGCACGTGCTGGCTGCACTGGACTTTGATGCAAACGAGTTTTAATACACAGACAGCATGCTTAACAACTTCCCTTTTCTTAAGCGAGTAGCTCTGGCTGTGGTTGGGTGGAAATGCAGTACTGAATAGTGAGGCGGGGGGGGGGGGGGGGGGGGGGATCGGCGTGCGAATTAAAAGCCCTAGAAATCCTTGTGCATCGAACTGCTAGCTTGGTAGATCTACTGGGTTGTTACAGTTTGTCGGGTTTACCGGTAAAAACTTTAGGAAAAGGTAGTTATACGGAGGCCAAATCACATTTTTTCAATCCTATACACCCAGGTGTCGGCAGGTTGCCGATCAGCCCTTCCCCTCCCACCATGCGATTCGGGCCTACGGTGTTTTAAGAAGAAAAGAACAACACAGTTTGCTGGCAAGGCTTTTCGAATAAGTCTTGGCTTAAAAGGTGTTTGACACAGTAAGCTTTGTGTGAAAAGGGTCCGACGTGTTTAATATGATTTTCCACCAATCATGAAAGCCGGGAAATTCCCTGCTGCGTCTTAATGCAGCCATGGATGTGACGATACCACCATGGCGCCCACTACTCAAACTCTCCGGCAACCGGGTCCCGAGTTCCGGGTTCAACCGGGCGACGGCTTGTCCCATGGTCCTGCCTCTGAGCAGGCATCCCTGTCCGCGTACAGAGAGCATTCCTGGAAGCTGGCGCCCAGCGTCGTCGCCGCGGCGGGAGTGACGGATTCAGTGAAGGGTTCACGAGGCGCGCTCTGACAAGCCGGCGGGCGTCCCAGCAGGGTGCTGCGATGTGCATCCCGGCAGGGGCGGACCTGCGGTGGCTGCAGTGGCTGCCTCGGGGACTGGGCCGTGCTTGTAATGCGGTTTATCCCTTAAGTGAAAGTACGCTGTAACTGCTCTGGTAAATTCAACTGAATGGATAGTGCGAATGAACCCGCTGGATATCCGATAATGTGGAAGCCCGCTGCTGGACTGAGTAATTGGATCGGACGAGCAGCGAGCGTGGTGCATATCCAGCCTTAACTGCTGAACCACCATGGTAGAGTATGGTCTGCCAGATAATGCTAGATCCGTGCGAAACCAGCTTTTTAAAACTGTATGGCCCGTTAAACCGGTCCTAAAAGCAGCGTGCTGTGACGCCTCCCCGCAGCCAGACCGGGGGCAGAAGTTCAGCCAACCCAGCAGCGCTCCCTTCACTTAAACATGCTGTGGAATTTATGCTTGCGGCGGCATTCAAGGTTCGGTGGATCGCCGCCTTCTACATGATGTCCTGCGCAGCAGACTAGTTTGTACGAGGGGGAGGGAGGTGTATCGGTGAATAGTGTCGGATGTGTGCTGTACGAGAGATCAAACATGAGTGTTGGGTCTGGACTTAACACAGTGCCCTGGGATGCGCTGGTCGCAATGAGTGAAGAGAGGCGGTGTCCCAGGCGGCGCATATGCAGCTCCTGTCCCTGCCCCTGTGGCGCGGGGCCAGTCAGCACGCACCCGCCCACGCGGCGCACAGATAATTGGTGTTTTCGACGCGTTGATGGCCGAACTGGCGCAGAGACCCTTCAGTGAGGCGGAGCATCTTGAGCAGGTGCTGGCCCACCACCACGATGACGGCCGGGTCTGCCGGGTTGTAGACCGCCTGCCGGGACCGGGACCAGACGCTCACCGGATGACAACCGCGGCTGCCGGGCGCAGCACGCCCAGGGGCCGGCACAGACGGCGGCATGTAATGAGCCGTGCAAACAGCCCGGTTAGCTGACCGACTCCATGTAACCAGCCTGGTGAGCTGACCAACCCCATGTAACCAGCCTGGTGAGCTGACCGACTCCATGTAACCAGCCTGGTGAGCTGACCGACTCCATGTAACCAGCCTGGTGAGCTGACCGACTCCATGTAACCAGCCTGGGAGCTGACCGACTCCATGTAACCAGCCTGGTGAGATGACCGACTCCATGTAACCAGCCTGGGGAGG